CACACACACACACTTTCCCTCCGCAGACCTACCAGCCAGACACGGCTCTCCTGGTTGCTGGGGTGCTTATTGGCAATTGGATTGATATCAGCTGATATGGCTGTCCAATAATCAGCCATTGGCATCTGCCCAGAACACGTTTATCGGTGCCCAGAACACGTTTATTGGTGCACCCCTAGTACATACTACTTGTCTCCTGTCTTGAGAATGGCTTTTTAATGCTTTTCCTAACGCATTATGTCACCTTAAGTTGCTATAGGAAACATTTCTTTAAAAACTTTAAGAAGTCTAACAACTTGGTGTGCTTGAAATCCTTTGGTATTCAGACAGGAGGAAGGGCTATGGCTGCTTCTGTTTTCATAACCCTTTCTTTTTCCCTAAAGAGAGACTTGGTTCCTAAGTCAAGTCCTAGACCTGCAAAGTTGCCTTATCTGCCTCTTTCCTTTCCTCTCTCTGTTAAGGCAAAGCAGTGTTTTGTGGTGTGTGTGTGTGTGTGTGTGTGTGTGGAGGCATCAGTGGGTGGTAAGATAAATCCAGGAAGCACACAGTAATTTTGATCTGTGGTACATATCTGAAAAGAAGGTGCTCTTAAACCCCTGTCAGACTCTTCATTCATTGCCATGGCCATGCTTGCCTTTTAACCCCTCCTTGGTAGTGCAAAACCATGGGCAAAGGATTCAGAAGAGGAAAATGATGACTGACAATGGGAGAAAAGCTTCTCCAGCCTGTTCTTTATATGGAATCTAATGTGGCTTAGCATAGAAGTGGGTGAGTGAGGCTCTGTGTGCTCTGTGCAGCTGAAGAGGTGATCAAGCAAATTGAGGAATTTGATGGCTTGGAAGCACTGCGTCTGGAAGGCAACACAGTGGGTGTGGAGGCAGCAAAGGTCATTGCCAAAGCCCTGGAGAAGAAGTCAGAACTCAAGGTGAGTTCCACAAACAAGGGTAGGATGTATTGCTGAGATAACCGAGGCTTGTCTATTTATACTGCTTCTCCAGTGACCTGTTATGGGTCAGTCCTCAGAAATGAGCTTTGGATTCCTTGTTTGCCAATGGGTAGAATAGATTTGTGCAATAGGCTACCTTGCGTTTGCCACGTAACTTTCTTAGCACTTTTATACATTCCAACATCTGATCCTTGCCATTAAACAGTGCCCCAGCCTTGAGAGAAGAAAGCCATAGGAGGAGACTATCACAAAGGGGTGCCTCTGTGGGCACTTTAAGTATGTGGGACTTGTTGCGTAAGTTGCCTCTGGATCTTGTCTGGATAGGAATCCTCAAACAAAGTCCAGAATGCTGCATGAGACTGTGGAAGACTCTCCAAGAGGTTCTCTACCCCCAAGTTCTCTTTTTTTACCAGTACTCTGGTGTTGAGGTGGATGGTGGCTGTGCTGCATCACTATAGATGCCATCTTCTGGATGCAGCCAATATGAGGTCTTGATCATCTGCAATCACCACAGTATGTAATGGCCCTTTTTATAAGTGTAGCATGTTGGGTTCCTCCACCCATGATTAAACTCCCATGCTACAACCGTGCATTTTCCACATTGGTTTCCATTGGGTATGGTAATGTTTACATATTCTGAAGTCTTTTGTTTTGTCACTGTGTACTATTAAGCAGCTGATGAATTACCCTCCAGGAATGGATACATATTCTTTGCAAGTGAAGTGGTAGTTACACAGGCTGTGTAGTTCCTTGTCATAACTGAATAGCAAATGTAAGGGAAGAGTATAGTATCATGTCACCTGTAGCTTGTTGCAACTGGTGATTTTTGGGGACCTGTGTATTATTGCTCTCTTCTGACTCTCTTTAAGGGTTATCTTTCTATCTGTATGTTGCTTTCTTACAGAAGTGTCATTGGAGTGACATGTTCACAGGGAGACTAAGATCTGAGATCCCTCCTGCTCTGGTAAGTGGAGGAACTGGGTATCTAGGTCTTAATCCTTTTCTTATTACTTCCTCTTGCCCTTCATGTTTGTATTCTGTGCCCTTTCCTTGGACCCATATGCTACCTGAGACCCAAATAAAGACCTAAAATGATGATAAAGTTTGAACATCTCATGGCTGGTGGGTTTCTCTCCCTCCAAGATGATGAGACAGAGAAGAACTAGCATATGTATTTCCATCTGATCAATTGCTGATGCAGCTTCTTCTCAAAACAGGAACAGCAACATGGCTACCTGAGGAGTAGGGTGGGAGTTGGAACAAGGCTTTGAAAATAAAAGGATGCATTTTTTGAGCAGGGACATCCCAGGTTACTGCTCAGAAGATTCATCAGGCAGCTTCTGTACTTTTAAGAATGGGGAAAAAAAATTGCTGCTGTTCTCAGTAGCACTGAGGTTAAAGTCACCTGATGTGTGTCTGACTGTTTTGACCTAAGAGGGCTGGATAACTTTATGGTAACTAATTCTTAGAACAGTACAAAATAAGCTAAAGGTAATAATCTCAAGCTTTGGGGAATAAGTCAACTGCTTGTAGTGATCAGAAAGTGTTCCCTCTTCCCCTGTGCAGTAGTGCATACCAACTGCGTAACAGACATTCTACCTGATGTTTTGGAGCAGTGTATTTTTTGGATCTCTGGAGCTGTTACTAAAAATTGAATCCTTTCTTTTTTTTTTTTTTTTTCCCCCCCCCCCCCAAAAAAAAAAAAAAAAAAAAAAAA